CCCAGCGCCGGCAAGAGCTGCGCACCTCCCTCCGATCGCGACCGGGCCGCGCGCTGGTCCCCCCAGCGCCGGCAAGAGCTGCGCACCTCCCTCCGATCGTGACCGGGCCGCGCGCTGGTCCCCCCAGCGCCGGCAAGAGCTGCGCACCTCCCTCCGATCGCGACCGGGCCGCGCGCTGGTCCCCCCAGCGCCGGCAAGAGCTGCGCACCTCCCTCCGATCGTGACCGGGCCGCGCGCTGGTCCCCCCAGCGCCGGCAAGAGCTGCGCACCTCCCCCCGATCGTGACCGGGCCGCGCGCTGGTCCCCCCAGCGCCGGCAAGAGCTGCGCACCTCCCCCCGATCGTGACCGGGCCGCGCGCTGGCTGGGGCCGTGTGACAGCGCCCGGGACACAGTCCGGCTGGTCATTTGCTCCGCGATCGAGAGGGATCGGCGGAAGCAGCAGCTGCCAGGCCACGGGGCCCCATAGGTGGGCGGCAGCAGCTGTCCACTTTCAAGGCGCCCGTACACCGCGACTGCACTTCAACTGGCTCAAATGTTGTCTCTATGTATCTGTTGATTTATCACGCCATGGGCTTACTGACATCGACATGAGCAAGTGTCGCGTTCTGTTTCAGGTATTTGTTGTCTTTGTTCGTCCATGATAGGAGGTGGGCATCGGCCCAAGAGCCCCACGACGACCTTCACCGCACCTCACAGCACGGGCGCTAATGAAACAGTCCTTTGGCGAGCGGACGAGGATAACGGCTCTACCAGTTGGACGCAGTTTTCCTAGTCTTTGCCAGCTGTGGAGGGCTGCACTGGTCTCAACAGGGCGTAGGTGCTAAAAACAGCCCGCGCCAACAAAACACCGCCGCACAGGGACGATTTGGTGGCGTCTTCTCATTCCTATTCTGGCTGCAGTCTGCCCAGCCAGAGATAGTTTCAATAAATCCGGGGGAAGTCAAAGATTGAAACTGTCTTCTGTGATAATGGAGTATTTTTGTTTCTTATCTGGTGGCTGAACGACGCAGGAATGCTGAACAGTTTGAAGCCGCCACTGTCGACCTGTTTACCCGGCGGGGCCTGCCAGTTGGCGAGGGGACCTTTGATCTGCTTCGGCTGTCGGAGGAGAATCTCTGTCGGTCAACCTAGCTGGTGCAGTCCTCTGGGCGAGGCTTAAGCCAAGACATGTTATTTCAGGTATATTTCTGAACTCTTTTTACAAATTCACCCGCATTGGTTTGTTTTACTCTGCGACGTTTTGAAGCTGCAGCGACGAAAGCTGATGACCCCCGGCGGGAGTCACAGGGCACCGCGCGCTGACACCTGGCGCGTGCCACCGGGCCGGGGTCACCCACCTACGCTGCTACCTGACCCCAGGTCACCCTCTCCCGTCGGCGTCGACGGGAGGCGGCGGCGGCGATCGATGCGCGCTGTCTCCGCGCGCCTGTAAATCCGTCGGCGCTGAATTAGCGCGTCAGCCGACCAACCTGGCGGCGCACAAAGGCGGCGGCTGCGTCGCAATCGATGCAGCACGCGCACCTCCGGCGGCGGCGGCGGCCGCCTGCCGCTGACGCGTCGCAGGCACGCTGCGTGCGGCGCCGGCCGGCACCCATCGCGGTAATGGCGCCTGCCGCAGCTGTGCGTCATCGCGGCCGCGGCCGGACACGGCGTCAGTCGGACGTTGCGCAGACACCACGCACAGGGCTGGCGCGCCCGTGAGACGGCAGATCGGTCGACTGTTTTTCCTCGGGCGCGGCCCGGCTCATTACCCGGGCGGCCGGCGCGCGCGGGGAGCCTCTTCAGTTGGCAGCGCGCGCCGGTCGCGGCGCATTGTTGGCCGGCGAGGGGCGGCGGCGGCCGCGCGCCCGGTAATGGCCAGCTAAAGGGCGCGCCGCCGCCGCCGCCGGCGCGCCGAGATGACAGCAGTCGGCCGGCGCGCGCCGTCCATCATCGCCAGTGGCAGCCGGCCGATGGGCTTCCGGCCCCGCCGGCGACACGGCACACCGCTCTCCTCAGGGTCCGGTCTTCCTCGTCACGGCTCGGCCAGCCGTCTCGGCATGGGGCCCGGTCCTCTCTCTCGGCAACGCTGGGTGTTGAGTCTCGGCAAAGGGCCCGGTCCTCTCTCTCTCGGCAGCGCTGGGTGTTGAGGCTCGGCGTAGGGCCCGGTCCTCTCTCTCGGCAGGGCCGGGTTCCGTCTAAAGGCAGGGTCTTCTGTCTGGTCAGGGCCTAGTCTTCTGTCTCGCCGGGGTGCGACATGAAATATTATCACTGGGCTGGTTTTTGGTCTCGTCGGGGCCGCAGCTTCTGTATTGTCGGGGGTCGCGTCTCGAGTCTCGTCGGGAATAGATCTTCCGTCTCACCACGGTCTGGTACCTACTCCTCTCATCAGGGCTGGGTCTGGTACCGGCTCCTCTCGTCAGGGCTGGGTCTGGTACCGGCTCCTCTCGTCAGGTCTGGTACCCGCTCTTCTCGTCAGGGCTGGGTCTGGTACCGGCTCCTCTCGTCAGGGCTAGGTCTGGTACCGGCTCCTCTCGTCAGGGCTAGGTCTGGTACCCGCTCCTCTCGTCAGGGCTGGGTCTGGTACCGGCTCCTCTCGTCAGGGCTGGGTCTGGTACCGGCTCCTCTCGTCAGGTCTGGTACCCGCTCTTCTCATCAGGGCTGGGTCTGGTACCGGCTCCTCTCGTCAGGTCTGGTACCCGCTCTTCTCGTCAGGGCTGGGTCTGGTACCGGCTCTTCTCGTCAGGGCTGGGTCTGGCACCGGCTCCTCTCGTCAGGGCTAGGTCTGGTACCCGCTCTTCTCATCAGGGCTGGGTCTGGTACCGGCTCCTCTCGTCAGGTCTGGTACCCGCTCTTCTCGTCAGGGCTGGGTCTGGTACCGGCTCCTCTCGTCAGGGCTGGGTCTGGTACCGGCTCCTCTCGTCAGGGCTGGGTCTGGTACCGGCTCCTCTCGTCAGGTCTGGTACCGGCTCTTCTCGTCAGGGCTGGGTCTGGTACCGGCTCCTCTCGTCAGGGCTGGGTCTGGTACCGAGTTGATTAGGCTCCAGATCTTCTGCCTCGTCAGGACCGGACCTGGTAACTGGAGCTTTGTCCCCTCAAGAACGCGTCTGGTGCCGGTCACCGTCTCGCCAAGACCGGACCAGGTCCCCTGTTTTCCGTCTCTGCAGGACCAGGTCCCCCTGTTTTCCGTCTCTGCAGGACCGGGTCCAGTGTTGGGTCTTTTGCCTAATGAGTGGAGGACCTGGTCGTGATCTGGTCTAGAGCTCCCTGCTTCATCAAAGTGGGGTTTGGAGCCGGGTTTTTTTTTTGACCTGTCAGAGACAGCATTGTGAGAAGTCCCTTGGCTGTCTGGTGGATCGGATCAGTGGCCTCTTTGATCGCGCCCAGGGCGCCTGTGGCCCGCTTCTGCCGCGCTGTGGCTCACCATCTCCCACATAAATACCTTTTTTGGCAACCTTCCGTTAGTCCCAAATTAGTTGTAAACTGAACCATTCTTGACGTGAACTTTATGTTCCTGTAGCCAAAGAGCAGCACGATACCCCAGAGGCTTTTTGGTCACCTATATTATGCCGTTTCAGAAGCTTCTAAATGTACGACCCGTCGGTTATTCCATTCATGTGTGCTCTGAACCGAGAGCTTTTTACTGTGAAGCTACCACTTAGCCTTTCATTGGCATAATTTGAGCACCATTTCATTTACAAACTTCCAGGCATCGTGACCTGAGACTGATCAGTAATAATTGAAATGCTTCTTTTGCATAATATGGTCGTAAAGATCAGACTTGCAGGGCGGTTTTGCTCTCGGTGCTTAAATGCATGATGTTTTCTTGACGTGAACATCGACAATTGGAGACTAACACATGGTGTTTTGCCTGATACTGAATGGGCTGTTTTATGTGGCGAGATGATGTCTTGATGTCCGTGTAAAGCCGTAGCGCGGATAATGAGCGGTGCGGTTTGCGATTTAGTAGGCACGTCCCTCGACTGCTGCAGCCATCCGTGGCTCAGCCGTCGAGACTGATCCAATTATACGGCCGCTCCGGGTCGTGAGCGTTGAACGTGATGAGTTTTAACAAATTTGCATCGAGACGTAATAAGGTAGAGGGGACATCGCGATATGGTCATTGCGAGTGATTGCGTGCATCCGCCGCTGGATGGCACCGGAGAGCCAGCGACCCGCATCGACCTTGTGCTGGTGCACGGCCGGGCGCAGTGGACGCTCGGCTAAGTTGAGGAGAGTGGGGTGAAAGTCATTAGGGGATACTTCTCTTCATTCAACGCCTATGTCGTAAAGACGGATTTAAATTTTTCAGGAAGTTGCGTGCGTAGACGGTGCTCACTGCTTCCGCACTCTCGTATTCTGCTGTGCGCGCCAGCGCCAGCGCCCGATGATCTGCAAGGGAATCAACCGGGCGGCGGGCACTGTGTAAACCGGCTGCTACAGGTTGCGCGACTTGCAGGCATGCAGGGTACCGATCCATGCATGCTTAGGTTAAGCAGAGCCCAGGGTCAGTCATCAAAGGGACTGCAATCTGGTCGTGTTTGCATAGACCGGCCGTGATCGAGCCTTCTGATTCGGAAGCAAGCTCGTGGACAGAGGCGCGCACACTCCGCCCACACGCCGAACTCGTGACGCCGCTGTGCGCAGTTTGCGCCGCTCCCGGCAGCGGCCAGGAGACCTGGCTGCCGGCGCTCGCCGGCGGATCGGTGCACTTACGCCGCCCTCTGGCCGCCGCGCTGACCTCGCCGCTCGGCGCGGCGCCACCACCGCCGACCGCCCGGGCTGCGGGGCCGTGCGACAACGCGCGGCGAGACCAGAGCTCCGGCGCAGCGGACGCGGGGCCGTGCGGCAGCGCGCGGCGGGACCAGAGTCCCGGCGCAGCGGACGCGGGGCCGTGCGGCAGCGCGCGGCAGGACCAGAGCTCTGACGCGGCGGACCCTCGTAACGCAACTCTGACTCAGCTGCCGGCTGACCCGGCCTAGCTGTTCTGACGCCGCGTCAGGGACAGTTCGACAACCATCGTACAATTTATTTATATCATAACAATGCGAGACATGACACCACCGTCCGTTAAACCGCCTGACCACCTCGCACCTCTAGATGGCCACCTCGCACTTCTAGATGCCTCCAACCTAATCAAAATCACTTCAGATTCGCTCCGCTGAGCCGAGGAGAGAAAGAGAGAGAGAGAGAGAGAGAGAGAGGAAAGAATAAATAACCGTCAACAAAATAAACTCACCAAGAAGACAGTTCAATCAATTCATCACAGCAGATCAAACTTAATCGTATGGAAGGCCTGTTACGTATCTCAATATATATCAACATTAAGGACTACACCGGGCGACCTACAATGGGGCTCACATATACCAAGTAGCTGCGCGGAGTAAAGCTTCACAGGCGGAGATCCTAACGCCTCCAGTCCGGTATTATTTTACATAGCTACACAGGACTGCACTCCGCGACAAGCAGCTTTGATTTCTCTGTCGTCGTCGCTCCATGCATACACGTGGCTCAGTGTTACCGAGCGCTTTGAGAAGCGGGCTGATTAGCACTTCGTTATGGCTTTGTACGTATCTCACACGCGTTTATAAACAGCTCCACGTCCTGCACGCAATGCCACGGAGAAGGGTCGCACCAGCGCCGGCGGCGGCCGCGCGCCGCGCACATAGATTATTGTAGTAATTACAAACTCGCCTCCAAGCCACATTGAACCTATCCGCTAACGATGATGATAACAACCATGTGATTTGATATTGGCTCTTCGACCTGGTGCGGTCGGCCCGGCTGTACAGAGATCACCTCAGCGGAGCGCAACCCTCGGGGAGCACACCTTGGCACACGGAGCGGCGCCGGCGCCGGCGCCGGCCCATCAGGACACCTTGGCCAGCGTCTCGTTGTTGTTCTCCTTGATGGCGGGCGGCGAGCCGGGCGAGGGCGAGGGCGAGCGCGAGCGGCCGCGCTCGGCGCCGCGCGCCAGCGACGCCTGGTAGCCGGCCGCCAGCGCCGGGTGCATCAGCGACTGCAGGAACATGGGGTGCGGCCGCAGCGGCGCGCCGTCCGGCAGACTCAGCGGGAAGAGGCCTGGCTCGGCGCACAGCCGCGCCAGGTACTCGCTGCCCCAGGCGGACGGAAAGCCGGCGAACGCCGCCTCCGGCCGACCGGCCGCCTGCTCCGACGACGTCGACAGCAGCTTGCGGTGCAGGTTGTAGTTGGAACTGTGCCGGTCGCGGCTGCGCTTCGACGGGAACTTGGCCTTGCAGCCCTCGATGGTGCACTTGTGCATCACCTTGAGGTGCACGTTCTGGTAGTGCGTCTTAACGCCGAAGTGGTTCTGGAACATCTTACCGCAGACGACGCACCGCCGCGGGTTGTCCTTGTCGATGGGCACCTCGGCGTTGCTGATGTAGCCGTCCTCCAGGTGACTGGGACTGGACGACGGGCTGACTGAAAAGGACGAGTCGCCGTTGGACAGCTCGTCCTCGTCGCGTGTGCTGTCGGCGTTCTCCTGACCGCCAACGTCCGGCTGCATCATGCTCAGAGGATTCAGCCCCATGGGCAGGCTAGCTGGCGGAAAACCCTGCTGGCCCATGGGGCCCTTGGCTAAAAAATCATCGAAGTTGCCCTTGGACAAGCTCTCTAACCGCTTGAGCGCGTCGAAGCTCTGCTGCTGGCGGGCCTGCCGCGCCCAGCTGGCCTCCTCCTCCTCGCCGTCCTCCCGCTCCTCGGCCGGCGCCGAGTCGGGCCGCTCACTGGGGACCGACCCGGGGCCCGGCTCGTTTTTTGGCCCCGGCTCCGGCTCCGGCTCTTGTGGCGCCAGCGACGGGAAGCTGGGCTTGACGTCGCGCGCCTCCGCCTCCGCCTCCTTCTCCTCGTCACCGCTGTCGTCGTCCGACTTGAGGTGCTTGAGCTCCTCGTCGTCCTCCTCGTCGTCCTTGTCGTCGTCGTCGTCGGGCAGGTCGTCGAGCGACGAGTCGTCCGACGACATGTGGATGTCGTCCTCGTCGATGCGCACCGAGAACTTGAGCGGGTTCTGGCTCTTGCGCTTGCGCTTGCTCTGCGGCCCGTCGCTGCCGTTGGTACGCGGCTCGCCGTTGACGCTCTGATTCTCGACGCTGCCGTCGTCGTCGGCCACCGTGCTGCGCTCGTCGTTGGAGTCGGAGCGGTACCGCTTGCCCGGCTCGTCGTCGCGCTGCGCGTCGAGCAGGCCCCGCCGGCGCATCTCCTCCTGGTACTGCTCCAGCCGGCGGCTCATGGTGGCGTTCAGGCTGTCGGGCACGCCGCCCGGCAGCATGAAGCCGGCCGGCGAGCGCGGGTACGCCAGGTCCAGCGTGTTGAGCGAGCTGTGCAGCGACTCGAGCGCCTGCTTCTGCAGCTCGGGGCTGGGCAGCAGCGGCAGTCCCGTCAGCGGGTTGAAGCCGCCCAGCAGCCCCGGGTGCGGGAAGTTGGGCGTCAGCGTCGGCGGCAGGTTGATCGGGCCGTGCGACTGCGACATGCGGCCGTCGTGCGGCGAGATCTTGCGCCGCATGTGAGGCGTGTGCAGCTTCGGATTGGGGTTGGCGCTGTGCCGGTTGCGGCTGCGCCGCGAGCTGAACATCATGGTGCAGCCGTCCACCGAGCACTTGTGCATCTCCTTCAGGTGCACGGCTGAGAAGTGGATCTTGAGTGCGCCCTTGTCGCAGAAGGTTTTGAGGCAGGCGTGACACTGGACCCGCTTCTTGCCCGTCACCGGGTTGACGAGCGCCGTCGGGTTGGGGCCGATCGGGTCCCACTGGCCGCGCCGCTTGATGGGCGTCATGGCCTTGCGTGCCCGCTTCTCCAGCTCCATGGCGCTGGCCGAGAGGTTCAGCGCTGCCTGCGGGTCGACGGCCGGCCGGCCGGCGCCGCTCGTCGTCAGGTTGACGGCGCTGGAGGCGGGCGGGCCGGCGGCGGAGAGCTGCGGCTGTTGCGGCTGCGGCGGCGGCGGCGGCGGCGGCGCAGCGCCGCTCACCGCCGGCCGCGACAGGTCGAGCGAGCCGTCGGGGCTGCGCCGCTCGAACGGCTGCATGCTCTGCAGCTTGTTGAGCGGCGAGAGCGAGCCCGTGGCGCTGGCGGGGGGAGCCACCGGCGGCGGCGGCGGCGGTAGCGGCGGCGGACCGAACGCGCCGTTGCTGGCGCTGGAGACAGGGAAGGGAGCGGGTAGCCGCAGGCCCGGCAGACACAGGCCCGGCCGCTGCAGCAGCTCCGGCCGCAGGAACGGCTGAACACGCTCCACCAGCTTCTTCATATCCGGCTCGAGCGGCGGCTTCTTACCATCCTTTTCGTCTTTTTGCAGGAACTCGAACGCGATCGGGCGCGTCTCTTCGAAGCGCATGAACTGCTGCAGTATGAGGGGCTCCTCTTCGGGACTACACTTAGTCCAGACACCATCCTGCGCAAGGAGGAGAGAGCACCAGTCAATGGAAGTGCGCTCGCCGTTGACACAGACACCATCCTGCGCAAGGAGGAGAGAGCACCAGTCAATGGAAGTGCGCTCGCCGTTGATAGTGACAGTGGCCGGCCTCGTCAACGGTTCCAGTTACGCTTGACAGCAGGTAATGGGAGGTTTGGAGGCTTCGTTTTTAACCGCGGATGCTTATCTCACAAAACACAAACATGGCAGCTGGCCATCACGAGGCAGACCCTCGCCGCAACGCAGCACAGTTAGAACCCTGGGAAGACTGCTCGCCGAGCCCCTCCCTCCAATAAACCACCTCCGCCCAACAAGGTCCGGTACGGCCTTGTCTATACATAGACCGGGACAATCTGTCCCGCGCCCAGCACCCTGAGGATACTGCCAATAGCCGGGTATTTCCGTCGACATTCGAAACAAAACTGCATTGATACGAGCCGGGTGGAAATAGCGGCTGTTTAGCCGGCCGGCGTCAGCGTTTCAAAGTGGCGTCCAGCCTGGCCGTGTTTGTTCTGGAACGGCCCCGGTGTCAAACAGGGCCGAGCTGTGCAGTGACACTTGATTGGGCAGATGCGGCGGCAAATGTCAGCCGGGCTGCGCAAAATAGCGGCGCCGCCATCTTGGCCGGCGGCCGCAAGGCGAAAATATCTCCGAAATACATTAAAGCGGCCTGCGTCGTGGCAGCGCGCGGCGGCGGCGGCGGCGGCGGCGGTGCCCTGGGCGGCCGCCGTTATCTGACGCGGCGGCGCGGCTGGCCGCGATTGTATCGGCAGCAGCGGCCGATAAATAGCGCGGCCGGGACACCGGCGGCCGCCAGCCGCCGACACGCTCGCAGCACAGGCCCGTCGTCGATCTCGGCGCGGCCGCGCACCCCGGCAGCAGTCCCCGCTGCTGCCGGGCCGGGGCCAACGTCAACAGACGGCGGCGGCGGCGACCGGGCGGGCGGCGACGCCGCCGCGTCCGCGGCCGCCCTGTCGCGGCGCGATATTAATGTGGCAGGCGGGGTCAGGGCCGGGTCAAACCCATCAGCGGCGGACGACCGGCCGCGGTCGTCGTCCGGCGTCGACCGGGACAGCCGGCCGCCCAATATGGCGTGACGAGCCCACAAAAATGGAGCCGACCCGTGCGGAACGTGCGCCCCAACGGCCGGCGCGTCGCCGCCTAATAGCACGCTGCCACACGCCGCCCGGCCACTGATTAGGCGCCGCAGAAAGGCGGCGGCCGTCCGGAGACGATCACGGCACGCCCCGGCCGTCTGGAGACGATCACGGCACGTCCCGGCCGTCCGGAGACGATCACGGCATGCCCCGGCCGTGCGGAGACGATCACGGCACGCCCCGGCCGTCTGGAGACGATCACGGCACGCCCAGGCCGTCCGGAGACGATCACGGCATGCCCCGGCCGTCCGGAGACGATCACGGCACGTCCCGGCCGTCCGGAGACGATCACGGCACGCCCCGGCCGTCTGGAGACGATCACGGCACGCCCCGGCCGTGCGGAGACGATCACGGCACGCCCCGGCCGTCTGGAGACGATCACGGCACGCCCAGGCCGTCTGGAGACGATCACGGCACGCCCCGGCCGTCTGGAGACGATCACGGCACGCCCCAGCCGTCTGGAGACGATCACGGCACGCCCCGGCCGTCCGGAGACGCCATTGGCTGGCCGTCACGCCCGCGTGCAGGGCGTGACGGCCTTGGTGCCGCCGACGTCACGTGGCCGTGTCGTGACGGGCCGCCAGATCTCCGCCCATCGGCCGTCGGCCCGGCAGGCGCCCACGCCACCGGCCGTCAGGAGGTCTCGGTCGGCGCGGCGGCAGCCACGGCGCGGCGGTGACGACCTCTCGGCCTGCCCCTGACCGGCACACCGGCGGGCCGCACTGTTCCACATACCTCGGCCACTTCAAAGGCGTGCCGCGGGGCGGGAGGCTCCCGGCCGGTTCCTGCGAGATCGTCATTTATCATCGCCGGCTCGGGGGACAGTGCGGGACGCACCCGTTCATAAGGCGGTAATTGACAACTCTCAGAAAATTCGGTAATTACATCCCAGGTAATGGCTGGCCGGAAAACAGTGCCAGGTGCTATTAGGGAAAACTGTTTGTAGCTACCTCCACCGCAGCAATCCGTCATTATATCTGAATGCATGAAAATTGCTTACTTATTGGCGCAGCTCGGATGTTTGTGCGCAGCCTTCTCAACAGGTGGCGTATGGAGCCTCGCTCACCAATTACCCATTACCGTTCGCACATACATTAGTGACAGGGCGGGCCGGCGGCGGGCTGGCGCGGCCCGGTGTGCGCATGGTCCGGCCGACGGTGACGGCGCGTTGTGCACGGCTGGTGAGCGGCTGTCCCTGCCGCCAGCCGCCTGCCGCCGGCCGCCGGCCACAGGCCTCGGTCGCGCCGGTCAGGCCGGGGCGGGGCACGCGCCGGGCCGCAACGCGCCTCGTACGCGGGCGGGGCCGGCGCCGCTGTGCCCTGAGACGACCGGGCACGCTGGGCTGCGGCGGCGCGCGTCCGGAGTCCGGAGGGCGCCCAGCGCGGACGTGGCGCTGATGCCGGCTGTCGGCGCCATCACGCCCGCCGCCGTCAGCTCCCCACATCCCTAGATTGGGGATCAGTCTACCATACGGACTGACCGAAAATGTGCTTCGAATGAGAATGTGCGTATGGGGGTAATTTCACTCATGACCTGGCTTAGCCCCCGAGCTGATTCTGCAGAGCTATTCCCCGGCGTTGCCTCTGTGTGAGCCTCCTTCTGCGCCGGACTGTGGCCGGCGGCCATGGCTCGGCGGCCGCAGCGGCGAGCGCCGTCGGGCGGGACAGCGGCACGGCCGCGCAGAGCCGGGCCCAAGGTCGCCGATCGGCGTCCGGTCGTGTCGGCTCGGCCAGATTGACGGCGGCCGCCGAGCCGGGCGTGTCGGTAATCCCCAGATCGGGGCCTCACGTGACCCCAGATCGAGGCCTCAGCCCGAGAGCGGAGCGCCGGGCCGCCGCCGCCGCCGCCGGCCGCCGGGCTGCGGCCAGCGCCGTGGCGGCAGCGCGCCGCGGCTATCGAGACGGATCTAGAGGCGGCCACAGGTGGCGTCCCGGGACCCGGCGCGCCGATAGCGGCCCTTCGAACGCGGCCCGACGGCCACCTGTGGGTCTCGCCGCGTCAGGCGAGCCCAGCGCACCTCCGGCTCTGTACGGCCTTTCCAAGGCGCGCTGAATCACCGCACGCCCGCGATCGGCGGGCCACCACGACCCCTTGCGTGCGCCACGCGGACGCTACAGGTGGTCCCCTGACCCTTTGTACGCGCCGGGCGGGCGCCGACGGCGAACCCGCTGTGACCTCGTGCCCGCCACGTGTCCGTCGCAGCGCGCCCACCTGCGTGGGGACCGCGCGCCGACAGGCGCCGTCCGGCGGCCACCACATGCCGGAGACGCCGTTTGCGGGCGGCCGGGGGGCGCCTGCGCCGTCCCAGCAGCCATTTAATAAGGCGGCGGGCGCGGCGCGGCGCGGTAAGAGCCTGGTGGCCGGCGGCACCGCCGCAGGCCGCTCCGCTGTAATAGATGGATGGAATGCCGCCACGGCCGAGATGATGGTGCGGATGACACGCCGCCCCGGCGACCGCCACACTGTCTGCCCGGCTGGAATGTGCGCCCGCCGGCGGCGCGAGCCGGCCGGCCCACAATTAAGGCCGGTCGGGCCGGCCGCGCCGCGCTCCTCAGCCGCAGACAGTGCGGCGACAGCGGCGCGGCGGCGGACCGCGTCTCTGCCGCCGCCGCCGCTGCCGCCGCGGCAGCTCGGCGAGGCTTGGCGGCTGTCAGCTCCCGAAGGGGCAGGCTGGGAACTTGGCAGCTGGCTTAGTCGACGACGAATGGCCCTTGGTCCCGCAGCGGGACGAGCCGACGCGCGGACGCCCTGGGCGGTGACGCTGGCGAGCGGCGACTCGGGCTGGCGGGAGCTCGTGAACACCACGGGCGGCAGAAGCGTCATAAACCCTCGCCCGTCCTTGTTCGACATAGGCATGCCCGTGGAAATGCAGACGGACTTGGTCGGCGACCTGGCCAGCGCCGATACTGCCTACGGACACCATCACGAGGACACGAGCCCTGTCGGGCCGGCCGCAGTCGGGCGCAGCGTGTCAGGGCGCGAGGTCGCCTCCCCCGACCGGGCCGGGCTGGGTCGGCCGCGGGCCGACGACGGCGCCCGGTCGCCGTCTGCCGCCGCTCGGAGGCTGTATTGATTCGGCGGCGAGGTGACGCCGCGGCCAGGTCGCCGGCGGCGGCGCTGCCGGCCGGCTCCCAGCGCTTTGGGCTCCCGGCGGCGCCGCGGACGGTCGCGGCGCGACGGCGACCGCCGAGCGCGGCCGGACGACGGCGCACCGGCGCCGGACGACGGCCGACTACATCATGTTAATGGCGGAGTAAACGCCACCCGCGCCGGACTAACGGGCCTGAACGAGCCGTAAAACAAGGCTGCGGACGCGCGCGGGCGCGGCCGACCGGCGGGGGTCGGTCACCGCGCGGACACGGCCGGCGGCATCGACTGCGGATGGAGGGGGGGGGGGACGTGATAGATGGCGCCGGCGGCGGGCCCGTGACGCGGCACAAGCGGCCCGATGGATCACGAACGCTCCCATTCATCATCGGGCAGCGATACGGCCGGCAAAAAGTGGGCTGTCGCTGGGGATAGCGGCGTCATCCACGTGCGGCGATCGTGCGATTGGCGCTGCGGCGGCTGCAGCGCCGCCGCCGCCGCCGCCACCGCCGCGCCTTGGGCGGCGCCGCCGGCCCGCACGCGGTCAAACAAAGGAGCCGGCTGGTGACCGCCCCGACCGAGCGCGGCCCTAAACATATTTATAACCTGTATAAATTTTCGGTGTCTTCTGACGCCTGACACGACCGGTCAAAACGCATTGCAATTAGAATGATTTACGGGCCGAAATAACGAGCCGAGATTCCGCGCGCGGCCAGATCAGCCGATAGCTTTGTGGTCGGAGGACGCTCCGCCGGGATAAATGGCCGATTATGCGGCCGTCCCGCTTCGCATTTGTCTTGGGCCGGCGGCGGCCCGAAAGGCGGGGCCGGCCCGCCCGGCGCCGGCCGCTCTCCGTCCCAGATGTCACCACTGGCCCCTCCCTGGCGACACGCGGCGACATCCTTGGCCAATGAGCGGCCGGCGCGGCGGCCGGCGACCAATGAGCGTGCTAGGTGCGCGCTGTCGCCGGCCGGGGACATCGATTACAGGCGGCGGCGACACGCGGCGCGCGCCAGGTGACAGTGGGGCCGGGCCGACGGCGCGCGCCGCCCCCGCCCCGCCCCCGCCCACCGACAAAAACGGTGCGCGGCCGAGCCGCCGCCGCCGAAGACCTGCAAGCGGGATTGCATGTAGGTAAACAAATCAATACGACGGCGGCGGCGGTGTGCGGGAGGGGAGGCAGGGTTGGGAGGGGAGGGGAGCGGGCGGAGGCGGGAGATAAGCGGCGCCGCGCCGCTCCGGCGCGCTCCGCTGCCGCCGCCGTCACCGCCAGGCGGCCGTTCCCATATTTACCCCCGTTTAGGCGGCCGATGATGTATGGTGCGGTCAAATGGGCATCCATTTTCTCATATCAGCCATGTAGATTGCGTGTAATTGTTTTCGGCGACACAAAAAAGCGCGCACAGGGGCGTGGGGACGCCGGGACAATGGACGCGTCGGCCGATCGTTGTCGGCTACAATGACCCAGAGGCCGGTGTAAAAAGGTGGCGATTGCGCCGATTGGTTGGAGTCCGGCGGCGGTGCGGTGCGACCGCAGCCGCCGGCCGGGACGGGCGGCGGCGGCTGGTGGTGCGGGCGGGTGCACCAGCACCCGCTGTTTGTCAATGCCGCCTTCCCAAGATGGCGGATGACGGATGGCCACGAAATTAATTTTGTGAACGCGATCTCGAGACACATGGCATATCATTTCCTCCGGTAGGCGAAGTGCGGCAAAAACACTCGGCCATTATGAATATTAATGCCGTCGGCGCGCTGATCTTTATTCAGAGAATGCCGACGAGAATGCTTCCCAAATGAACTGGGAGTGGGCCGGCCGGCGTCCTTTGTCCGTGCGGGACGGCTGGGATGACCGCGGGCCGGCGACCGACCTGCCGGCGATACACACCGTTCGTCGCCGACAGTGCGCCCAGCAACGAGCCCGCGGCGGGGCTGACAGCGCCGGGGAAGCACACCACACCGGCGCAGGTCATTAGCGCCGTGTTGCAGTCGGAACAGCAACAGCGATGATGAATCGGCCGCGCATCTCGCCGCTAATTGGCGTCCAATTACGGGCACTCACCTTGATGTAGCCCTGGACGTACTCCTCGCGGCTCCAGCCGAACGCGCGCAGGATCTGCGCCACGTCGTCGTCGGCCAGCTTGGCGAAGAGCCGGTCGAGCAGGATCTTGAGCCGGATGGGCACCGCCTGGCAGCCGAACAGGATGAGCGCGGCGATGTCGAAGATGGCCGCCGGCGTCACCGGCTCCGTCTGCAGCGCCGGGAAGGCCGGCTGGCGGCCCAGCTTGTCCAGCGCTGCCGGCAGAGAGAGAACGAGGTCGGTAAGGATGAGCCGAGCGGCACGAACGGCCTGAAACGCCCTCAAGAGCGTAGCAACTTAGGAGATCGTGGGAACGGCCCAGAGCGTGGAGAGCCAAAAGCTTTTCAAAAAGCCAGTTCTCTCCGCGGTAGGGTTTTACAGTCAGCCACCGCCCAGAGTTACCGTTAAATTTTTCCGAAAAATGATGAAGGCATACCCCTCCCCAGGTCCCTGTTCCCACGCCCACGGGCGTACTGCAGGGGTGGTCAAGGGTTGGCCGGCCATCACGAAAGCCCCGGAACGTCCAAAACAGGGAAGGAACTCCAGCGGTTGCGGGAGCATCTCCAAACATGCAAGGCCAAAGCGCTTTTTAAAGTGAATTCTCTGCACGACAGGGCTTCACCGTACAATCAATGTCAAACTTCTCCGAAAGCTGAGGAGGCGCGCCCCCGGACCGCTGCGCCTGCCCCGTGCATGGGAGCGGCGACGGTCACGAGAGCCAGACCGGCGCCGGCGCCGCTCCGCCGGCGCGTGTTGCCCTGCCGCGGGCCGGCCGCGCGCGGCGCCGGCTGATCGGCCGCTGCAATCGGCGCCCGTCTCCGCGGACGACACCTGTCCGTCCGGCCGGCGGCCGCCTGATTGCCGGCCGGCCGCCGGTCACGCCACGCAGGCGCCGCATGCAACGCGCCGCCGCAGCCGGCCAAATTACACGGCGGCGGCGGTGCGCTGACGTCAGCCGTCAAGAGGCTCGCCGGCGGCGGACGACAGCGGCGGCGGCGGCGGCGGCTCACGCACCGCCCGTGCGGTGACGACACAGGACCGCGCCCGCCGCGGTCGGCGGTGTGCGCCGTCCGACCCGCCGGATCGGGCGGGGGATGGTGCGGTCCGCTCGGCAGGTCACGGGGTCCGCCCGCCGGAGCCGGTGCCCCGCCGGTCGGCGTCCGTCCTGTGGCCGCGTGACCGCGCCGGCCGGCCCTTGAAAGGCGCCGCCTTCGGCCGCGGTCTCTATAGCTGGCCAGCGCCGCCACTAAGCCCGGCTCGGCAGTCTGCATGACGCTGGCCGGCGCGCGCCAGAGCGGCCGCCACCACCACCACCGCCGCCGCCGCCGCCGCCGCCGCCGCCGCCGCCCCCGCGAGCCATCTAATTGCCGCGCCGTGTCGACCGGGGCAAAAAGCGCCGCCGGCGCCGCCACACCCGCCTGCAACGGCGCGCGGCCGCGGCCGCCGGCGCCGCGCCGCTGATCCTTAATTACCGTCCGGATCGGACGCCCATCAGCGCGCCGCCGGCCAGTCGGATCGGGTGGGATCGGTGACGGAGCCTGGCGCCGCGCCGCTCGCGCACGCGGCACCCACCACCGCTCGCACACGCGGCACCCACCAGGCGCGTGCAACGTCGGCCCGCTTTCGGCGCGCCGGCCCTGCCGAATTATGTCTTAATTGCCGGTGCGTAATTGCCGGTTTCGGGGCAATTGCTGGATCGAGCAGATGGCGCGGTGGGCGGCTGTCGCGCGGCGGCGCTCTTCCTGGTGTTCGGGCACCGGGAGCTGTCCGCCACCCGAAAAACCGAGCGGCGCCCGTCCGCCCCGGGCCAGGCAAGACCGCCTCTAACACCGCCTGTCACGTGCGTGACTGGAGTAACAAAAAATGACAAGTTATGAATGTAAATGCTCTCAGCGAGCCCTTACGGTGCTGCTCTGACACCAGATTGATGCGATATAAAGTGGTTGTTTGGGGTCCTTGATGACTGGAATTTGGAAAGTGTCATGGCAGAGGGGCATCCATAATTCATAGCGAATCTGGAAGACACATGGGCCGCAGGGCGCCCTATATGGGACGGCCGGCGGACCACTGTAATTGGCCGGGTACGAAGCACGCATCACGCGCCACGATCGTCGCGCTCGTCCGTCATCGGCGGCCATGGTGGCGCATCCCCCCTGAGCAGCCGACGGCTAGTGGTCCTGAGCGGGCTCAGGTCGCGCTGGTGCCCTGATGACGACGCGCCCTCTGCCGGCCGGCCGGCAGAGGGTGCGGCTGGACCCGCTGCCCGGCCGCTGCCACCCAGCCGGTCGCAGACACGTCACCGCGGCGAGCGTCGCAGGCCCGATATGGCGCCGCGGCGGCCAGGTGGGAGGCCGGCTCCGCGGCCGGCGGCCCGGGAGGCGCCGGCTCTCTACCGGCGCGGCGGCCCAGCGCGGCGGCCCAGCGCCGGCTGGCGTATCGGGAAGGCTTAGTGATTGCGGCTTGGCGTGTGCCGATCCTGGGCTGCTCCCGAGCCGCAGAGGCCGTCTGAGATGGACCGCCCGGCCGCGTGTGTCCGCTGAGCACCGGGCGTGGAGCGCGGACGCTCCGGCGAGGTGTCTGGGCCGGGGCACGTCGACACTGCGCTGCTTCCGGGAAGCGTCCGTGCTGTGACCCATGGGTGGGGACAGACATGTGGCTGGATCGCAAGAGGTGGATCCAGGGTCCCACATGATTCCACGTGTAAGCAATCCTGAGATCGAATCCGAGGATCTTTCTGGGGTCAAGACACAAGTTTAGAGAAGAGTGTGCTATGTCACGGTGGCGGGTGTGGCAGTGACCAAACCCACGTTCCTTAACATCGATACAATTTCAGCCCTCCACCATGAAAACATTCCTTCCGCAGCACCCTTGCAACGCCAGCCCCGGTGTATCGGCACGCTGCATGCGTGCTTGCACCGCTGCACAGATCCCCTCACCAGGGGGGGGGAGGGGGGACCTGGCTCCGGCGGACCTCAGCGAGCTGGAGACGGTGGCGCAGCTAACCCTGCGCCGCGCCGCTGACCCGGCACGTCGCCGCCGGCCGCTGACTCAGCCGGCTCGCCGGCCAGCGTCACACCGGGTGACGCAGCATCCGGTGACGTCGCCGTGGCGCCCGGCTCGGACGTCACGCCGGCGCCGGCCGATGACGGCCAGGCTCCGCCGCCTGCCGCCGATGACGCCGGGTGACGCCGGTCGGGGGCGGCTGCAGCGGTGCCGCGTCACCGGCGCAGTTGTCGGCGTTCGCTCGCCGGCAATAGATGGCGGCCGAGCGGCGATTTAGCGCCGGCGGCGGCGGCTATTCCCAGCCGTCCTGTGTCAACCCAGAATCAATGACGGCCGCCAGGCGGCTAATGGATGGCCGGCCGGCCGGCGCTCGGAATAAATCGGCGCGGCGGGCGGCGCCCGGTGTCGCCGACAAATGACCGACACGGGCGCGGCGACAGCAGGACGGATCTGCGACACGTGAACGGGCCGCGTCAGGACCGGCCGCGCCCGAGGTGGCGGCGGCGCGCAGCTGCGTGCGGCCAGGCGCCGGCCATCGGCGGGTGCGCAACAGCGGAGGTGCCGCCCGGATGCCACCTGGCCGTGCGCCCGCCGCCGCCGCCGCCTGTAGCAAGCAGCTAATGGAGGCCGTTTGTTGTGAGTGTAAACGTTTGTCATGTGATGTAGTGGGCAATTTGAGTCATGATATTACTATGCTAGTTGTAAAGACCGGCCAACTGCCCTTTCACGAAGTCATTCGGCGCCGCCTCTAGTCGGGGCGCGGCGGCCAGGCGGGGGTCTGATATAAATCCCATATCGGGGCCATATTTCACCTCGACTCACCAGCGCCGTTTTAATCGCGGCTGCACGCTGCTGGGCCCATCGGTCGCGCCGCCAGCCCGGCCGCCCCCTGGCCTTTCATAACCGACGGCTGCCGCGGCTGCTCCCGGAGAAACCGGAGCCGAGAGCGGGCGGGGGCGGGGGCGGGGGCGGGGGCGGGCCGCCCGTCGCCAGTCACCTGTAACATTAATCGGCTGGCTCTCTCTCGCGCGCCGCGCGCGGGCGCGCGCCGCCGCTAACGACGCTGCCAACCGGGCAAACCAAACAAACGGCGCCGCGCGCGCGTCGCCCGGCGTAAACACCTGATTCCATCCGTCAGGGCCAGACAATGGGGGCGGCGGCGCCGCGCTCGGCCAGAAGACGGAGAGCGCCGCGACCGGGAGAGACTGGGAGCGAGCCATCGCTCTATCGCGGCCCATCGCGAGCCTCGCGCGCGACGCCTGCTCCCCGGCCACTCACCGTTTCTCGTACATCAAAGCGCCGTGTAATTACCGGGCAGATCTGAGTTATAAATGACCGGCTGGCATTCCGGCACGGGTCAGGGTGTAATTTTCCGACTTTATCGCCAGCGCTGCACAAAAACTCTGTCAACCGGCGTTATGAAACACTGTCCGGCCGGCCGGTCGCCGCTAATCGGGCCCCATTATGCAGGCATTCGAGCCGGTGCCGGCGGCGCATCGCGCTCAGTGCCCTGAGTGCGGCCCTGCCGCGGCGCCGACCGTCGCCGTCACGAGCGAGGCCCGATGCCGGCGCAGATATGCCGGCCGGCTAACGAATTCGGCACGCCCCGGACGGGCGTTCCGACGGCAGGCACCCGACGGCGGCGGCCCGGGTGCCGTCAGCACGGCCCGGTCGGCCGACGTCAGCACCTCGCCATCCATTCAGTGATTCTCTCCGCGCCGGCGCGGCCGCTTTTTCGGCGCCATTCTCGGCCGGCTTCTTTCCGGGCGGACGCGTCTCGCGCGCAACAACAGCTGTCAAACTCTTATCTCGGAGAGCGTAAAAACGACGTCTCCATGTCAGCTCCTCGGTCGGGGACCGGGCGGGCCGGCCTCTAGGCGCCGCCTCCTTGGACCTCGCTGATCTGATGAGCCGGACGTCAGACGTCAGATGTCGGACGTCAGACGCCAGGCGTCAGATGTCGGCAGACGGGCCCTGGGGTGAGGCTGAGACGCGCGGCACGTCCCGCGGGCCACCCTCGGCCCCGTTCATGCCGGGCTGCTCGGCAGCGCCGGCGGTCCGGCGGCCGGCGCTGAGCGGCGCCTGCGGCCGACTTCCGCCAGGTCGACGACGCGCCGGGACACAAGGGCGTTCGAGGCGGCGACGCGGCCGCGGTCGAGGCACGACCAGCCGCACCGGCGCCACCCCCAGCCGCGGCCGGGCCGCCCAAGGT